TAGGCCGTATATTGTGCAGTTGATATAATCAGTAAAAAATATTGTCAAGCAGAATCATGTTGGATTTCCACCCGAAACAAATTCTTTAACAAAATGGGTTTTGATGACAGGTAACTTGACGCTAGACGTCGAAAAATCTGTGAAGACTGATAGAATTAGAATAAGAAGATGAGTTTTTTAAATTATTCATGAGACTGTCGCGGACTACCTCACGTCCTGCCTTCCTCGGGCTAAATATTTTAGAACGGCTGTCGTATAATTTAACTGCAGCATTTGAACGTGTCGTTTCCCAAGCCTCAGATTGGTGATATGAACGTGGCATACTCCATAAACTAGCTGAAATTCTTCATGTGGAATACCTGATCATTGAGACTGAAATAAATGAATACACTCTGTGATGCGACGTCGTGTAGTCTGATACAGATCTGCCGACATTTCGGAGGAACAGTGCGCCTCTATATTCTACCCTGAAGATGGGTGGAGTACGTGCCACCGAAACATCGGTAAACATCTAGCAGACTACAATGGAAAGAGAATAATATTCCTAGCCACCTCCCTGAGTACCTCAAATTCCACATATTAATTCATTTTCATTTGTTTCCTGCTAAGGCGATCGGTGCCGGTCACGGTAGCACAGCGGTCTAAAGCATGAACTGTCTTCGCTCGCTCGGAAGCCGGGATCGTGGGTTCGAATCCTACTCAAGGCATGGATGTTTAGTGTCTGTGCGTGTGCGTTCTTCTGTGTTTGCGACGAGCTAATCCCCCGCCCAAGGAGTCCCACCGAATTTCTAAGACTGAGATGTCGGTGTTCGAGCCCCAGTGGGGTCAAGAATTTTCTCTTCTTCACGTTGTCCAGACCAGCTCTGGGGTCCACCCAACCTCGCATGCAATGGGTACCGAAGGCTCTTTCCCCGGGTGTAAAGCGGCCGGGCGGTGAAGCTGACCATTCATCTCCAGCTAGTGCCGAGGTCAAGAAAATGTGGATCTATACATCCACTCCCTCATACGCCTTCATGGCGTAATACTTAATTAATTAAGCACAGGGACAATTTTACCTTATTTTCCAAGCTGAATTTTAAAAAAATAAATTCATGAAACTGGCTCATTTACTCATTCGGGTCTATTACGGAACCGATTTCTGTAACCGGTTCCACCCACTGGATCCAGCGTTGTAGGTTTCATACTTTCTGCGTGATGACGGAAGTATAGATAGCTTCCGAAACATGATGTTCTTTAATCAAAAGAAGACGATGTGAAATGTATGATATATATCACACTCATATCAAAATTTATTTTAGTAATTTACAGCGTTTGAAAACTTACGTAATACACTTCACAATTTTCTCCATCAGAAGGTTATACACATACACTAGCTTCAACAAATCTCCGCTAAGTAATACCTGTCTACGGATTCATGATGAAAGAGTGCAGTAAATAAAAAGGGCCGTAGCACAGTGAAGGTGCAGGAAAAGTCGAGTTGAACAAATAAACGAATTTAACCGGGGGGAAGGAAAAAGAGTAGCAGAGCTACTGAATGACGCGGAAAATTGCTTGGCAGTACTGGAATAATTACTGTTGTTGGCATTCGAGCGGTCCACATTGCAAGAGAGGGGCCCAGTGTATTGCAGCGACTGCTGGAACAACAGACGCAGTAAGATTTGCAAATGGTCCCGTATAGGGGGCCATTGGGCCCAGACCGCTGGCCTAGTGGTGCCTCAAGTATACAAAATAAAGTTATTTATGGGCTTAATCAATTAAACACCACGACATGAAGACATATGGGGAGGGGGTGGAAGTATGGCTCCACTGCTCTTAACCTTGGCACTAGATGGAGGCTAGTAGTCGGCTTCACGCCCCTGCCGCTTAACCACCAGGGAAACAGCCCCCGGTATCCATTGTATAAAGGCTGAGTGGGCCCCAGACCTGGTCTGGACGTTATGGATCCCCGAGGTGTAACTAATTAACTAACTAAACTTTATGAAGCTGAGCACTCCTTGAGAAGCTGCCAATTGTGCAGCTACTCAAGAACTTCCCAACATTTTACGGAACCCGAAAATTCATCACCGTGTTTACAAGAGCCCTCCACAAGTCCCTATCCTGAGTCAGATCAGTCCAGCCCATACCACCCCATCCTACATCTCTAAGATCCATTTCAATATTATCCACTCACCTACGTCTTGGCCTTCATACTGCTCTTCCCTTTTTGCTTTCCCACCAATATCTTCTCCTGTATTAGTGCTACATGCCCTGCCCATCTCATCCTCCTTAACTTCATCATTCTAATTATAGTTATTATTATAATTATAATGAAATTCCTCATTATGCAGTTTCCTCCAACCTCCCGTCACTACATCCCTCTTCGGTCCAAATATTCTCTTCAGCGAACTCTTCTTAAACACCCTCAGTCCATGTTCCTCCCTTAAAGTCAGACCCCAGCTTTCACAACCATACAGAACCACAGGCAACATTAAATTTTTGTATATTCTAATTTTTATGTTTCTAGAAAACAGACGAGAAGACAAAAAGTTTTGGACTAAATGGTAGCAAGCATTTCCGAGATCAATCTCCTCCCAGTTTCTTCCTAAATCAAATTTTGATTTGTTACTGTCGTTCACAAATATGTTAAAGGCTGTGCCTAACATTTTTGTGACGAGACAGCAACATATGCTGTTTTCCCTGTGCTTACTTCTAGACCAACCTCCTCAGTAGCGTCCAATAAAGTTACTGTGTTTTTCTTTATGGCATCTATGTTCTTCCCTATTAGATTCACATCATCAGCATAGATCAGCAGCTGGTGTGAGCCGTGTTTACTTCATGGCTCCTTTCGCCCCCCCCCTTCCTATCAACCGAACCCCTTCACCTTTACCTCAGAGTATTAGTGTTCTAGATCTAGAATGTTGTTGTCCATGCTTACCACATGATCCCTCCCCCCTTTCCCCTCCAGCTGTTTCTAGCTTGTTCGGGGCTTTAAGAACCGGAGAGGATAGAGGCACTCCTTTTGTAGCAGTCGGAGAAAGAGGTACTACCTCTGCCCTTCTACCTGTCAAAGGCTGAGTCGACCCCAGGGCCATAGTGCAGCTGGAAGGATTCGGTCAATTGAAAAAATCCATCTCATCGCCACTCGTACCCGCGACCGTTCCGGCTTGTAGCTAGTTCCTCAACCAACTACGCTAGTATGATGTTAAAATCGAACGTACGTCTAGGATATTGATCCGTTGCAGTTAAAAATTATGAATAAAGGTTTATTTTTTGGAGGTGGAAATCTATGTAAAGAAGAAAGTATATTCCTAAAATTATGCGATTGTAACTGTTAAAAGGAAGAATAGCTGACGTTTCAGCTACATGTGCATGATAACATCTGCATTGCAGATTGGATTTAAGCCATGTTACTAAAGCAGATCGTGTCTATATTTCTACTTACATACTGATTCAGCGTCGCTATCCGTGACTATATAGCATGGGAAGAATCGGTGATCGCGAATAAATTAATTGGAAATGATGTGAAAGAAAGAAGTCTGTCCTAATTTAAGGTAATATCATGGCATTTACCTGAAGGGACTAAGCAAAACCCTGAAACCCCTCTATCGGGAGAGTCAATTTCCCGGCCGAGATTGGAACCAGACGCTACCCGCATCTAAGTCAGAAGCGGCGCTGTTTGAGCAGTCCTGCTCGCTACAATTCATATTCAAATGATAGGAGTACGTAGAAATGAAGCTGTTATTTCTGAATTAGATTTTCTGTTCTGTCTTATCGCATGCAATAAACATTTAACTTTTAAATACGAACATCCTTATCAGATTTCCTATTATTATTATTATTATTATTATTATTATTATTATTATTATTACTACTACTACTACTATTACTTTACCGCCATCTTTGAGCCGATTGTCTAGATAATGTGGGACCCTCAACGTCTCACAACCCTATGGGCCTTCAGAGCCTGTTACAGGGATAGCTTTACTGTACTTTACTTTTATCATCATCACCATCACCATCACCATCATCATCATTACTAATGTTGTTATTCTTTGGTTGCCTTTTAGGTTGTAATTAATTTTTTCTCTTGTCAAATAACCGGAAGCCTGGGTCAGATACCATTGGCGCAAGTATACAAAGATATTAAACTCGCCAAATGCCTGTGTTAGCAGTTAACTACGCGTAATTCCAATAGCAAAGCAGAAACAGCAGCAGAAGCAGTAAAGGTTTCTGCAGTACAGTGCAAGCGTGGTCTCAGCTTAGAGGCATTTACTGTCTTAACGAATGAGCGCCTTTCATTTTCTAATGAAAGTGGGGCTAATTTGGGACAGCATATAACCGGTACGGCTGAAAACAGAGAACGGGAAATATTTTTATTATGATGTTAACAGAGGGTCATCGGGGTAAAGCGGCAGGGACCTGAAGCTGACCATCTCGTGCCGAGGTTAAGAATGGTGGATCTATATCTCCACTCCCCCGTACATCTTCATGGCGTGGGGCTTAATTAATTAAGCCCAGGGATAACTTTATTCTTACCTTTGACTTAAGTATGGGAATCACGGTAGCGTAGCCAGTTGAGTCACTCTGCTCCAAGCCGGAAAGTCGCAAATTCGATTCCCGATTAGGTCATTGGATTTTTCAATTGGTCTAATCATTCCAGCCGCACTATGACCCTGGGGTCGACTCGGCCTCTAACAGAAATGAGTACCAGGAATCTTCATGGGGGTAAAGGGCGGCCGGCGCGTAAGGCTGACAACCTTACCGCCATCTGTGAGCCGATTGTCTAGATAGTGTGGAACCCTCAGCGTCTCACAACCCTATGGGCCTCCGTGGCCTGTTGCAGGGATAATTTTACTTTTTTTTACAGAACGTAGGTTTGTCTGTTTTAGGTATTAGCCCCTTACCGCTCTGAATGTATCATGAATCGCTAATGTCAAATAACATATGTGGAAAAGCGACTGTTTGACATCAATCGAGTGCATGTGTTCTGTCAAAATGAGGTGTTGCTCTTGTGTACGCAGGGGAATTGCTGGCGGAAGGTGCGTGCTCAGAAGGGCGTCGCAGTCCCCAGAGGGCGTCGTGGTCACACTTCTCTCGTGCATAAGGGAGCCATGCTGGTGTACGGTGGTTATCAGGACCTCCGCGGCTCTTCCAATGAACTGTGGGGCTTCCACTTCGGTAAGTGGCCGGCATTTCAGGAAACTGTTAATTTATCTTAAACTTAAGTTGGAAACCATAACAAGGACCTTAAAATATTACACAGCAGGCTATGGTACCGACTCTTTATATGTAAGTGGACTAATCCGTGGATGGAGTTAGAATATCCAGACTCGCATGTGAAAGTTCCATGGACACATTCGTGACAGATTTTCCTTATTTCTCCAAGAAAATATCAGCAATACAATTGTAAAACGAACATAGAGTGTTGCTCAGTTCACAATCTGACCACGACGCTAATCTCTCCTCCCCACTGGAGCACAACCTGAATCACTGTACCTTCGTATGAGCATATTAAGGTAGTAATCAGACACCTTCCTATTGCCACGATTTAGGGGTGTGACTGTAGACGGGGTACGGGCTGAATTTATTGACACTACCCGAAATTACAAGTAATTACAGTTCCATTGCTAATCTCCGCAATTCACAGATCACCACAGTACCCGCTAAGCCTTTTCCAGCCTGCTGTGTCTTAAATAGCCGTTTCACAGTAACAGCTTCTAACAATGGAAATTCTTCAGCGTGCTATGAACATCTCATCTCCTGCCCTCTTCAAACAAACGACACGCAAAAGTCCCCTCTCCTCAGGGACAAATAAGCACAATTATTTTTGCTCTTCCAAGTTAGTAGCGAACTTCGAAAATTACATTCTGCCTCGATCTTCAGAGTAGAGAAGCCATTTCAGTGACTATGAAGTTAACTGTCTCCTGGGATGTAATACCTGGTAGTCTGGTAGAGCTTTACTTACGTTTCACAGGAACGTACTGTCAGGGTGAAAGAATCACTCTTCTAGGGTTATGACCGTTATTTGACTGAAAGGTCCGAGGAAAATCACGAAAACCCTCATCCAGGATAACCAGTGTGTGTGCCGAGATTTGAACCCGCGACCTCCTGAATAGGCACCAGGAGTGCTACCCACTTGACTGAGACATTTTGACATAAAGACTCCGTGGCTTTTAGTCCACAAGCGAAATATACCACCGAACGACCGCCGCTTGTCGGCGAAGTTAGTGTCAACTTTTGCGGATAGAGTGTGTCGCGTGGTCAACGCAACGAATCCCCACGGCCGTTAATTTCGGTTTTCTAGACCTGAGTCGGTACTTTTCCATTCACATAGCTCCTCAGTTATCCTCACGAGGCTGAACGTCCACTTTCAACGGACTACACGGTGTCACAACCCAGAAGACAGAACAGTTCAGTCCACTATTCGTATTGACAGTGGGATGCAATGTTGATATCTCCAGATACCGAGTCGTGGCACATGCTGTCAGCATCCAGTAGTGGCATCACGTGCGGCAGATCTTCCAACAGTGGCAGTGGCCATGGCGACCTGCCTCCAGCCCGCCACAAACACTCAGCCATATTGCACGACGACGCCATGTGGGTGTATGGAGGGATGACAGACCTGCAGGAGAGAGCCGACTTCTGGCGGTGGGACACTGGTGAGCTTCATATACCTGTATGACGCCATGAAGGTATACAGGAAGGATGAAAGTTAAACTCCACCCCTTTCTTGATATTTGCGCTATAAAATAAGTTGATAAACTTAATGACTCAGTCATCTTACCCCCAGTTAAATTATCATGTTGGGCCGCGCCATAGCTCAAGCGGTTAGTCGCTGGCTTCCCATCGCGGCGGCCCGGGTTCGATCCCGGGTCTAGTCAAGTGGGATTTGTGGTGGACATAGTGGCGCTGGGGCAGGTTTTCTCCGAGTACTTCGGTTTCCCCTGCCAATCTTCATTCCATCAACTGCTGCACAATCACCCTCACCTATCATCTGGGGCTGGTACAATAGGCCAGAAGTGGCCGCAGTACACAGGACTTAGTCCCACCCCACTAGCAATAAAAAAAAATAAATTACCATGTTACCAGCTCGATAGTCAACCAGGAGGATCACATGTCAGTTCTGGACATGACAGGCCACAGTGTGAATTAATGCTTGGTCACCTCATTCATATTCCGTTACTTTGCTAAGTGTGCTGTTAGGCTTCATCTTAGCATTCACTTAACGCACAGAAACGCACACAAAATTAGGATATCTCCCATAAAAGTGAACTGTTGTGTTACAGAATCTGACTGACAGACTGCATGGGGCAGAGTCCACAAGGTAATAGCCACCCACCTAAACAAGAAATTATCTGCCCTTTATGGAACCTGACAGTTTATTGCCATATTCATAGGAGCCTACCACTGGCCCCAACCCTGAGCCAGATGAACCCAATCCACCCATTTACACCCTATTTTTAACCTATTTTCCCCAATTTGATAAAATAAAAGGAGGCTTATGAAATTACCTTGCTGTCTGAGTGTCTATCCCACATAACGACTGAAAGTAGAAATAGTGGAACCAGAAGAAATGACCGTTGCTAGGCTTATGAGATCACCTTGTTGTCTGTGTGACTATGTTCACCCTCCCCCAAATTTGCTAGGCAGTGCCTCAGTAAACATATTACTGCTGCAACAAATGCACATGCAACAATAGGAAAAATGTTGGATGTGGTGTCTTCTACATAGTCTGTGTCATGTCAGATACTCAGTATGCAGTGAGAGGAAAGTAGGCAATTAGTTCTTCCTGGAACTTCTTGTATTGCTGTATTATTTGATACATGGTAAGTTTTAACCCTTAAGGAATCGTTCAGTAAATTGTTGGGATACTCCTTTCTTCTTATATTGACACCAGTTACCTGATTTCAGCCACTTCATAAACTGAAGTATCAATTGCAATGAAAATGGCTCCCAATAGTTTTTCATGTTCTTCACCATTAACCAGATAAGTAATACTTTTAGATTTATGTCACTGTTCGAATTATTTAGATAGTAATATAGGGGAACAGTGGAAGTAGAATGGGACAAATTGTCACACATTTATGAGCTTCAAGGAAGACTATGTTTCAGTTAGGAGAGAAATATTGGCCAACACTTGCACTGATACAAGTCACAGTATGAAGGACAGGTTAACAGCAGCATTTCAGAATATCAGTAGTGTTTATTACTTTCAAAGGAGACACCATGTCTCTCCCAGTACTTAATTGTGTCCCCAGCCAGTACCACTTGCCAAGAGCTTATCTTTTTAATGAAATAGTTTCCTGTAATTTAAAGATGGCATTAGAAAGAAAATGGCCTGCAAGAGCGAATGTTTTAGCATACTTTCCTTGTTTTGAAAAAAACAAAAGTAGGCTTTTGAGATCATCATGCTGTGTATCTGTGAATTCCCCCCCCCCCACCACCTCCCATCAAATTTTGAATGCCTCAAACAACCTTTATGAAACTTAGTATGTATATGATGGCAGTTAAGCCCATCTCAACGGCACACTTCATAATTCCCTCCTGTCAGTCTGTGTGTCTGTATGTGTATCCCTCATTCCACTGCTAGGTAACAGCTCAGTAAAGACGTTTCCACAGAAACAAAGAATTGTTGGAGGCGTTATTTTCTATGTAGTCTGTGTCATATCAAAGAAAGTGTTAGATAATAACATACATGAAGAACTTCAAGAACAAGTAATTTAGTTTCAGCTAAGGACATACTCTTCCTCCCGATGCCCTCTTGCTTTCTGTCTACATGACCCTAGCACAGTTCACTCATGGTTTTTCATTCTTCAGCCCACTTAGATCAGTGGGTACACATGTATTTTGTTGAAAATCATCATTGATTGATTGGTTTATTAACTTATTTATTTATTTATTTATTTATTTATGGCTTTTCAGTAAATTCCTTTTCTTTGTTTATGTGTCTCTCTGCATATTATTAATCTTGATGAAATAAACCACAAATCTTTCATGCTTCCTCATCCCCATTCCAGTATCATTATGACAGGCTACACCCACCTCCACCCAGATCCTGATTCAGCAAGCATTCATCACAACTTTCCCATAATATTCAGCATATGCAATTAATAAGGCATTGATAAACAATGTAATAATAAATCGGTCATATCTATAAGAATCCTATAAGCAGTAGGGGAAGGAAGCTTAGAGCAGTTTCTATAAGGTGTTCCTATGAATTTCATACAGTTGCAAAGATGTGGACCAGCATCCGGGCTAAACCGGGCCCAGGGGCTTTGCACAGCCATGCAGCCTGCAAGCTACCCAGCTCCATGCTCCTGTTTGGTGGTGAGAGGGATGGACATCCCACAAATGAACTCTGGAGATTCCACTTTGGTAAGTGTGCATCTCTAAACAGCTCAGTCTCTTCATATAACCTTCCATTCTGTGTTGCATTTTATGGGCGTGAAACACGATCTGTAATCCTGAAAAAAAGAACATGTCCTGAGGATCTCAGAATAGGTAATAGGAACAATATTTTCTACCTAAGAAGGAGTAAGGAGTGGAACGATGGAGAAAATCACATAATGAGCACTTTCACAATTTTCAATCTCAACAAAATATTACAATGATCAAATGGCAGAGGATGAGATTGGAGAGGGGCATTTAGCAGGTATGGTAGAAAGAAGAAGTGCAAAGGTTGGTCAGGAAATCTGAAGGGAGGGGATCACTTTGAAGAATAAGGCATAGGCAGGCAGATAATATTAAAAATGAGTGTAAAGAATCAGTGTGTAAGAGTGTAGCCTGTAATCTGCTGGCTTAGGATGGGGAACAGTGTCAGGTCCTGTGAGCATGGTTATACACATTCAGGCTCCATCTAAGGCAGGGAATTTGTTTCTACTTGCTGGGCAACTCTTGTTTTTTAAAAAGTGACTCTGACCCATGAAGTTAGTTAATAATACTATAATGGCAGCAACATTTAGCAACCCCACATGCATAACAGTACCATACATATTTGTTGCTTTCCCAAAAATAAAAACGGTAATTTAGCAATGATACAACACTATTATAATGATGCTAATCATTTTCTGCCTTTCTCATTCATGCTTTAAATTTTTTTGTCTTCATTCTAAAAGGACCCACATCACTTTTGGGTAAATATGGGGTTTTTGCATTCATTGACACTGTTTGGCACAGTCTTGGTTTTGTCAAAAGTACATGAAAAGGCAATGCAGTTTTCTTTAATTTCTGGAGTGGCCAATGTTGACATTAGCCCCTGTCTTATAGATTGTTAGGCTGGCACTGTGGGGCATAAGTTTAATTATTTCATGCACACAGCTTCTACAAATAATTCATGACAAAGGAAACTGCTTAAAATGTAACATTTCTGTCCTTTACTCATGGGTTATGATGAAAAGTTTACTCTTTAACTTCTTTCCATTTCTGTCTAACTACAGTTCTTGGACATATTACTTATCATCATCATCATCATCATCAGTAATCTGTCAAGACGACAGGTCCACAGTCTCTTTCAAAACAATTCCTCCACTTAATGCGATCTAGAGCTTTCTCCTTCATATGACAGTATCCTCTTCTGTCCCCAAGGTCATCCAGCATCTTCTTAC